TGAGGCTTAGTTTACCTACCATAACGTTTATCTATTTTTATTTATTTTTTTATTAAGTCATAAACACATAGATCATGTATACACTGATGCCTTTATGGGGTACAATGTGCTGATATTATATACAATTAGGTATGCTTACATCAAACTAGTTAATATAGCCTTTACCTCATTTACTTATCGTGTTAAGACATTTATACTTTATACTTAATAGATGTGACGTGTACCCTTGCAATTTGAACCATAGGAATGGTCCCACTGTTTACCCTACTTCCAATGAACAGCTCAATAATTTTTTTAGTAAATGTATACATTTTTGCAAACTTCCCCATGATCCAGTTTAAGAAAGGACACTTTCCTCACTCTGAGAGGTTCCTTCATATTCTCTGTAATCAGTCCTTGCTCTCAACTTCCATCCCCTGGCAACCTCTGAGCTGTTTTCTGTCTCCAGAAATTTGTAATTGTAGAAATTCCATATAAACCGAATCATACAACCTGTAGCCTTCTGTACCTGTCTTCTGTCTGCCTGACAAGATGATTCTGCAGTTTATCCACGCTGCTACAGGTATCAGTAGCTCATTCCTTTCTATTGATAAGCAGCATTCCAATGTATGGCGATACCACGTTTTGTTTATCCATCTACTTTATGAGTTAGGGAAAACATTCTTATATGTGACACAAAAGCTGTTTGTTTATCTTACAAACAAATTGTCTAAGTGCTCTAAAGTGGCTATGCCATTTTACATTCCAAATAGCAATGTATGAGATTCTAGTTTTTTCATATTCTTGCGAACACTTTGGTACTATCAGCCTTTATAATTTGAATCATTCCAGTGGGCGGGTACTAGAATCTTACTGTTGTTTAAATTCACATTCCCCTAACGGTGAATGATGTGCTCTTTTTTTTCTTTTGCCATTTGTATCTCCTTTGATAAAATGTCTACTGAAATCTTTTGCTCATTTTAAATTAAATTGCTTATTTTCTTATTGAGTTGCAGGAGTTCTTTATATATTTGGTTAAAGACATCTGTTAGGTAATTACTCTGAAAATAGTTGCTTTTCATCTTTTAGTCTGTTGCTTTTTATTTGTTTAATCATGTCTCCTGAAGAGTAAAAGTTTAACGCCCTTTTCATTTTCTTCTGTCTTCTCAAGAGTAAAAGTTTAATTTTGATGACATCCAATTTATCTACTTTTTATTTTAAACATCCACAGCTTTTGTGTCACATATAAGAATATTTTCCCTAACTCAAGATCACAGAGTTCTCTACTGTTCTTCTAAAAGTTTCATAGTTTTAGCTCATGCATTTAAGTTTGTGTTCCTTTTGAAGGAATTTTTGTATAGACAGGGTCAAGGGTCATAATTTGCATATGTAAATCCAATTGTGCCAGCATCACTGTGGAAAAAATCCTTTCCCTGTTGCCTCAATACTTTTGATGAAAATAACTGAGCACATACATGATGGATTATTTTTTGACTTACTGTTCTGCACCACTGGTCTATGTATCTATCCTCATGCCAACTTATAGTAAGTTTTGAAATCAAGAAGGGTTAGTTCCTTAACTAACATACAGAACACTAACAAGGTATTGCATATACTTAAACTTTCTTTTAAAAAAGTGTGTTTTTTAATGTGAGAGGTGCAAGGTTTTTATTTTTATTTATTTTTTCACGACGTCACGGTTCCTTAAAATGTTGTCTTCATCTTTTACTGGCACTACTAATAAACGGCATTACTGATAGATAATGGTGTTGGGAGCAGGAGGAAGAAATGGGAGTGAGTGAAAGAAGGGAGAGTGGGGGAGTAAGTCTTGAAGTCAAAAACGGTTAGTCTCGCAACTTTGTTCCTTTTTCCACACTATTTATGCTATTCTAGGTCATTTGAATTTCCATATACATTTTAGGATCGGCTTGTCAATTTCTAACAAAAAAAGCCTACTGAGATTTTGGTAAAGATTAGTTGAATCTATAGATCAACTTGGAAAGAATTACCAATATTGAGTCTTCTACTTCATGAACATGGTATATGTTACATTAACTTAGTTTTTTATTTCTCTCAGAAACACTGTACTTTTCAGTGTACAGTTCCAAAGTTCTTATGTTAAATTTATTCTTAAGCCTTTTATAGCCTTTCTCATGTTATTACACGGAAAACTGATCTTCTTTAAAATGTTATTTTCAGATGGTCCATGACTATTACATAGAAATACAATCTATTTCTGTGTATTGACTTTATATCTTGAAACCTTGCTGAACTCACTAATGTTCCAGTAGCTTTCTTATAGATTTCTCAGGATTTTCTACATACAAAGATTATATTACCTGTGAATAAAAATAGTTATAGTTCTTCCTTTCCAATTCTCATGCCTTTAAATTCTTGTTTTTGCCTTATGGTACTTGATTTTGTTTTTCTGAATTGTCAGCAAGCTTCTCTTTAGTACCTTATACCTTGATACCCAATGTTTCTTTCATGAATGCTGAAATCAGACTACTACATGTCCTTCTCCTGATGAATGATCATTTTTAGCTAGAGTACAATACCACTGCCTATCAGCCAAAAATTCTATTTCAATAGCATTACCACCTTTATTTACAAAATAATGTTTGGACAATTATTTTATAAATTCTAATTGTATTTTGTACTCGTCAGTTAGGGGGAAAAAAGGACTATACATGAGAAAAGGACAGTCAAGCATGAGTCTCATAAACTTAGTAACAATTTAGACAAAAATGGAAAGGCTTAGACATGCTAAAAGTGGAAATTCTTTAGACTCAACTAGGTGTCCGTGAAACTTATTAAGCTGGTCAATCATGAGAAGGAGGAAAATTAAATACCAATGTAGCATAGTCAAAATATAACATCAAAAATTGCGTTTGTGATTTTCTATGTTTTAGGTCTTTGGGAACATTACTGCCATTGTGACAGGTACAATTATTATTATTATATTTGAGCACAATTCAATTAACATATATTCTGATGAACATATTGGGTTTCAATGTGGTGGACATATAAGGACTTCATTTAATCTTATAAAATTTCTAAGAAAGGTATAAAGACTCCCATTTAAAAATCAAAAAACAGAACCAAAATTTAAGTACCTTGCTAGTGGATACAAGATCGAAACTCGAGTCTTTTTGGCTCCAAAAGCTCTAAACTGAGCCCCTACTTTCCTGAGCAACTCACTTCCCTGATCCACCCCTCAAAGCTTCAGCTTGCTACCCGCTGCTCAGGGAGCCTCTGGTTCCATGTCTGTTACAGTTTCTAACCTCCTCTCATCTCTGCAGTGACTTGACAAGTTAGTGTGCAACAACTGAGGCAGGATTTATCTTTCTGATTTGCTTTGTCTCCAAATGCCAGCCTGAAGGCTTGAACACTGTAATAAAAAGGTTCGAGGTATTTATATAAACAACATGCATGTGAATAAATATATAGAAAGCTTGTTTGGAAATCAGTGAGTGATTTCAGCTTGGGGACGAAATGCCCCGAAAGTTTGAATAAGAAAAAAATATCTAAGTTTTTCAGTGAAGTAATTTAGGCTTTTCCTCTTGTTTTCCTTATTTTGGGGCAGACACATTGAGAAATGAATGAATTCCAAAGCAGAAAAGTTACCACAAAACCATTAAATTGTGAACGGGTGACAAAGCCCAGCCTTCTCTCTCACTATCCCACAGGAAGATTCTACACCTCAGACACAGATGATTCGGACACACATCTTTATAACTTGGGTTTGTGAGACTGGAAAAGGAGAGCCCTGTTTCCACTGAAGACCATCCAGAGCAAAGAAAAAGAAAAGGCTCAAAAATCCTTCTCTTCTCGTGACCTAAGTAAACAATCAAAGTTTGGGGCTTGCTGGCTAACTACAGAGCACTTGGATAGGATATTTTCATTAAACATGTGCTAATCACAGCTTTTCCTGAACTCTGAACAGTACACAAAACCAGAAATAATTGTCCTAGTCCATGCGTCATGTGCCAAATGGGCCCCGTGCAGAGAGAGGAAGCCAACCTGTGGGATTTCTACCCTCTGAGCAGCAAACTTCTAGAAGATAATTTTTTCCACAAATCCTCTTATAGTTTTGTCCTGTGCTAATACGATCTTTATCCATTCCCCTCACCAAATAAAACATGTATCGTACAATCTTTATAATGTCCATATATGTATAAGGTGATGCCTTCGAAAATCTTTGCAGTTAGCAAAATACTGGAAAACAACAAATGAGGGGTTAGGGGGGTTTGCACACTATGCGCCCCTCCCCGCCTGTCACCTCTGTTTGTAAATAAAGTTTTCGAGGAACAAAGCCACATCCACTCACTTACATACGGTAGATGGCTGCCTACTTGCTATAAAGGAGAGTTGAGCGGTTGCCACTACGACCACATTTTAGTCTGCAAAGCCTAAAATATCCACTCTAGGGCCTTTATAGAAAGTTTGCCAAGTCTTGTGATAATACATTTCAGATAATACAGAA